GCTCGCCCCACCCTCACCGAGAATTACCGTGAACAACTCCAGAGCCGGCGGGTCCCTTTTAAGGCCAGAAACAGGGCTGTGGGGCTGATGTGAGGGCCGGGATTTGAGGATTGCCCGGCTTCCGACCTAATGAGGTTGGGTTCCGGTGAGGCTGTATCGTAGGCCTGGTAGGCTTCCCAGCCGGTGGTCAAGGGTGAAGGGTCAAGTGTCATTCAGGCAGGGCCAGAGCTCAGTCTCCGCGTCGGGGCCAGAGCTCAGGCATCGAGCTCAGGCGGGTCCTGGCTCCACTCAGACTGAGGAGGGACTTCGTACCCGGCAGCTGGCCCGTGTCCTGTCACCAACAAAACAGGCAGGGAGACCCTTCTAGATGAAAGGAGACACCAGAGACCTGGCCATTCGGCTCAGCTGGAGTGTCGTCCCGTGCACTGAAGGGATGCGGGTTCGATTCCCCATCCGGCCCCCGAAGAGGCAACCGATCGATGTTTCTCTCTTTCCCTCTCTCTCTCAAATCAGTGGTTTTTTTTAAAAAAATGTTTTAAAGGAGACACCAGAGAGACCTGGCAGACAGTGCAGTGCCCGCTCTCCGATTGGATTCTGGATCGGGTGGGGGTGGGGCGCGATGAAGGACATTTGGGAGGTCATTGGACGTGTTTCAAACGAATGGCTGATGAGGTCATCTTATTGTTTCAGCGCTCAGCTTCTTGAGTGTGATGCTGGCGCTGCGGCTCTGCCGACAAATGTCCTTGTTCTTGGGAAGATGGTGCTGAAACATTTGGGCATGACAGGTCGTGATTCACACAGTCACACACACAAGTGTGGGTGTGGGGGGGAGAGCGCAAAGATGCTGCCCTGTGAACAGTAGGCGATTCAGGTGAAAGATGTGGTGGTCACTGTATTATTCTTCCAGCTTTTCTGGAGGTTTGGAACTTTTCAAACACAGTGTGGGGAAAAGGAACCTGGTGGGAGTGTCCCCGGGCAGCCTCCTGGGCCACAGTGAAGGGTCAAGGGTGCTGGACCCAGAGAACAGCTGACGAGCTGAGAGGGGCCAGTTTAGGACAAGAAGACCTAAGTCCCTTGTCACCGGGAGTGGCTTCAGTGGCAGGTTTGGATGCAGAGCTGCCCGCCCTCGCCTGGAGCCGGCGTTAGGAGCCTGCGGTGGCTGAGCTCATGTGTTGGTCTGTGTGCAGCGACTCAGCCGCAGCCTCTGCCGCCTGCCCTCCCAGTAGGCCCGCGCTGGCGCCAGCCCTTTCTCTGCAACCTCCTGAGACTAGCAGCCTGGTGGCCTGAGGGACCCAGCGGGAGGGAGGGGGCAGTCAGGCCGCAGTCTGCGTGGAGCCAGGAGCCAGGAGGCAGCCTGCCCTCTGCTCTCCGTGCCCGTGGGGAAGCCTCCAGGGGGGTGGGGGCTCCTGGACCCTCCCAGGCTGCTGGGCAGTGCACGCAGGCCTGAGAGCATCCTGTGACCCCTGTCCTTGCTGCTATGGGGGCGGGAGGGACAAGTGTTCCCACAGGCATGAGCCAGCCACCTTTTTTATTTCATCCTCACCCGAGGCTACTTTTCCATTGATTGTTTTGAGAGAGTCAGAGAGAGAGAGAGAAATATCAAAACACATCACTTGGTTGCCTTCTGCACGTGTCCTGACCAGGGCCCGGACAGAGCTCGGCCAGAGAACCGAGGTACGTGCCCTGGACTGGAATCCAACCTGGGACCCTTTGGTCCGCAGGCCGGCACTCTATCCCAGTGGTTCTCAACCTTCCTAATGCCGTGACCCTTTAATACAGTTCCTCATGTTGTGGTGACGCCCAATTTCATTGTTACAAATTGAACATCATTAAAGCATAGTGATTAATCACAAAAACAATATGTAATTATAGATGTGTTTTCCGATGGTCTTAGGTGACCCCTGTGAAAGGGTCGTTTGACCCCCAAAGGGGTCGCGACCCACAGGTTGAGAACCGCTGCTCTATCCACTGAGACACACCGGCCGGGACTGTTGTTACTTTTATAGACAAACGATGGAACCCTCTCCATTACGATGTTCTCTAAAACCCCACTAAGTAACCAACTAACCGTTCTGCCTTCCTGGAGCACGAGGTGCAAAGCAGTCCATGGCTGGAATCTGACACGGGCACCACCCCCACCCCGTGCCCCCCTGGAGAACTGGAGCTGCTCTGGGCGTGCAGGGTGCTGTGTGAGTGGGCAGTGCAGTGGGCAGGACTCTGGCTGTTGGGGCAGAAACTTGGAGTTGAGTGGCTCACAGGCAGGGACAGCCAGGGTGGAATGGCCTCTGCTGGGGCCCCCTGTCCCCAAGGGGAAGGTGGGCCTGGGGCACATCCACATGCTGGTGTGTGGAGGGGGTGGGGCCTGAGCCCCAACTGGCCGTTCCCAGGAGACTGAGGGCATCAAAGGGCGTTTTCTGAAGGAAGGGGGCTTCCGTGCAGACAGAAAACAGTGAGCGGCCAATTTACAGTCTTCTAAAGCTCATGGGTCTCACAGGAAACGCAGATTTTAATTTGTATATGTGAAGTCACAGAACCTCACCAGAAGTTTTACAAAGCTCTATGGACTCTCCCACTAACTCCACGCTCTTTGTCTTTCATCTAATTCTGGGATATGGGGGTGCCCTCAAAGTTTAAGTGCAGTTTTAAATTTTAATCACTTAAGAAGTGTAAATGCTACATACCTACAAAACACATCAGTTGAATATTTACTTATTAAATGTGTTTTACACTTGGCTTGCTGATATTTGGATGCTAAGCTTTTCATTTTAATTTTTTTTTAAAATATATTTTATTGATTTTCACATCAGTTGAATATTTACTTATTAAATGTGTTTTACACTTGGCTTGCTGACATTTGGATGCTAAGCTTTTCATTTTAATTCTTGGGGTGGGCCAGCATCTGGCCGGGTGGGCAGGGGGAGGAGAGCTGGCCGACCTCCCTAGAGGTCACCGTGTCCACTCTGTCACATGTGCATCAAGACCCCGTGAGGCTGAAATGGAAGGGCAGTCCCTCAGTCACTGACCATCAGCCCGAGCGTGTTTTCTAAGTGTGAAAACCAACTGAAGCCACGCGCAGCACTAAGGGGTGGCCTTGTATGAAAGTGAATAAGAAACACCAATACATCTAATATGTCAATAACTAACCTTTCAAATGTCATTTTTTGGTATGTTTGTAGCATCTATGCTTCTGAAGTTATTAAAGTTTAAAATCACACTAAGACTTGGATGCACCTATTTATTTATTTAAATATTTTTATTGCTTTCAGAGAGGAAGGGAGAGAGAGAGAGAGAGAGACATTAATGATGAGAGAGAATCATGGATAGGCTGCCTCCTGCACGCCCCCCACTGGGGATGGAGCCTGCAACCCGGGAATGTACCCTGACCAGGAATCAAACCGTGACCTCCTGCCCTGTGGCCCGGCTTGCCTCAGATGACAAAGGGCTTTAAAAGTTGGCATTGGGGCCCCTCTTCTTGCTAAAGGCGGGCACACCATTGACAAAACGCCGGTTGTACTGCTTCCGTCGCTTGGCCCGACCAGTCTTCTTCTTCTTTTTCTCCTGTTTGGCCACCTTGGGGGTCTGACCTCTTACTTTCCCAGCACGGGCCAGAGAACCGTGGACTTTACCTCCAAGCACGCGGGCGGCTACTTCCAGAGTGGACAGCGCCTCCACCCCACACTGGCCCAGGGTAGCCTCATCCTCCAGGGGTGTGCCTGCCAGGAGCACGACTTGATCTTCCCGAGTGATGCCCTCCAGGGAGGCTACGTGAGCCTTGATCTGGGAGACTGTCTCCCGGCCGGTCACCTCGAGGGTGTGGAGCTCCTGGGCGCGGACAAACAGCTGCATGTTGGCGACTGAACTGCGGCCTGTGCCGCTCCCTCAAAGATGGAGTCGAGAAAGAGGAAGGAAGAGGAGCGTTCGCGTCCGAAGCGCTTGCTGCGTCTGACGTCACTCTTGCCTCCTTTTTAATACTCGGTGTTGGGTGGTCTGTTGGGGTCCAACCCCGGCAGGTCCAGGGGTCCCCAAAGGTGTGGATGGAGTCGGCGAAGAAGAAAGGACACGGAGACAGCGTTCAGTTGATCAGCACAGCGAGGTTCTCTAGCTAGGTTCTCCCGCCAGGTTCTCTAGCTAGGTTCTCTCTGGTGATTTTAATCCTATCAATTTCTATTCCAAAGGTTAGGGCGTTTCTTATCTCCATTCCAGGGAGTAAAGATTATGTAGCTTAAGCGTGATTGTTGGTGGTTTAAGTGATTAACTACCCGCCTGGCACTTCAAGGGTTTTATTCCCTCCCTAAGTTCAGGGAAAAATCCCGACCTGGGGAAACAACCTTTTTCGGAGAGGTGACCTTGGCTAAAACACATAGCGCCAAGAAGGGGAGCAAACATATTAAGAACAGTATGCCATATACTGTTCTTGAAACATGCTGTGCAGATGTTTCTTCCCTGCAGCGACTGTGTTAAGCAGCAAGGATGGACCGGCTTCCAGCAGTGGTCTACATGCGCGGTAACATATGTAACCCGGTAATATTTTGGCGAACATATTAACCAAATATCCTGAACCCTACATTTAACTCTAGGATACACCGTTAGAGCGTCGCTGTTTTTTGTTGCGCACAATCGGTCATTGCATAGAAGCCCAGGAGGGTGGTTTTCTAGTCCAGAGCAGCCCCAGAAGTGGGTTTGCTGAGTCCAGGGCATGTCTCCTTTGGGAGACATCCCACAGCCACAGAGACGTTTTCGTGGAGTCCCCCGGGCACCGACCAGTGCTCAGGGCCGCGGATAGGAGAGCCAGCCCTGTCTGCGCCCAGCCGCCGGCGGCGTGTGGTCCGGGAGAGAAGGTGCTTAGCTCTTAGGCTTGTGCAAACGCTGCGTCCCCGCTCAGCTCGCTCTGTTTAGTCGGGCGCCTGCCTGACGCCCAGGGCTCCTGCCGAGGCTGCAGGCTCTGGCCCCAGACCCGGAGCCCTGAAGGCCTGGCCGGGGTTTGTCCGCCTTATGGGTCAGGGCAGGTTCGGAGCTCGGCTCTCCGCCGGGCGGGCGGCCAAGTCGCCCACAATACAGACAGCCTGGGCGGCCCCAGCGCCTTGTCTGTCTCCGGGAAGGAAACCCTCTGCCAGCAGCCCCTTCCTGCAGGCCTCTCGCCGCCGGCGCGAATCCCCTCCGACTCGGTCCTTCCTCTGAGCCTGCACCACCAGCTCGCGTTCAGAG